CAAGGCGTGCCACAAAAATATTGGAGCACACACACACACACACACACACACACACACACACACACACACACACACACACACACACACACACACACCAGCCATTTTATATGTATAGATTTTAAAAGAGAAAATGCTTGAGAAAGCTTCTCGTTTTGTCTCGTTCCCTTTCAAGCTTTCCTATCTGTCCACAGCTGTTATTTGAAGTGGCTTCCTTCTTGTTTTGGGGGTGCTGCCTCAGCTATTAATGGAACCTCTTTCACTTTGAAGGTCTGCTATTGGGTGCTGAAGTGCCGAAGCAGCAAGAATACTTTGATTCAAATGACTGTCCTCAGCTTATTGCCACGGCTGGCCGCTTTCCGCCCTTCAGCTTTCACAGGTAAAGAACAGGGATTGAGGTTGGTACTTGGGAATGAGACACCAGAAAGATTTCATTCATTTTTGTTTATTGGTTTTTCCCCCCGTGGAGGATATATAGAAGTATAGAGAAGAAAATCTACCTCTACTGTAGATTGGGCTTTTTTTCCCCTCTGGGTAGAGCAGAGGTCTCCAACCTTGGCACCTTTAAGGTTTGTGGACTTCAACTCCCAGAATTCCTCAGCCAGTGAAGCTCTGGAACTCTGGGAGTTGAAGTCCACAAGTCTTAAAATTGCCAAAGTTGGAGACCCCTGATGTAGAGCATAGGGGGAAATGAGGTATGTTCAACTGGATGGCACGTCACTAAGCAGTTGCAAGAATTTGAGGGTCCACTCTGCCAGCACCCAAGAGCTGTGATGGCCCAGTGGTTAGAATGCAGTATTGCAGGCTAATTCTGCCCACAGCCAGGAGTTCAGTCCTTGCTGGCTCAAGGTTAACTCAGCCTTCCATCCTTCCCAGGTCGGTAAAATGAGGACCCAGATTGTTGGAGGGGGGGCAATATGTTAACGCTTTAAACCACTTACAGAGGGCTGTAAAGCATCGTAAAACGGTGTATAAGTCTAAGAGCTATTTCTATTTCTAATTAGTTTGATCCAGGAAGCCATTAAACACCTCCTCTCCAGATTCTTACAGTCTTAAAGGAATGACCTCTTGGACACTTATGAACCTGTGTCCCATTCATCACTAATTACCTAGTTGGCACTCTGTTTTTTTGGAGTATGTTTGAATCCTCTGGATTAACAATTAATGAAAGTGTGTGGTTTTTATTCTTCCTCCTCTGTTGCTGTTGGCTGACCAGCTGACCACTACCTCCCTGATACCATGAGCCATGTCTTGAGCTGCGTGAAGAAGGAAAAGGAGCGGACGGCTGCTTTCCAAGCCCTGGGCTTGCTCTCGGTGGCTGTGCGCTCAGAGTTCCAAGTTTACCTGCCCAAGGTTCTTGAAATTATCAAGGGAGCCCTTCCGTTGAAGGACTTTACCCACAAGTAAGTGAGGGTTTCCAGACTCTGCCAGATTTTCAGGATTGTGCATTCCACTTTAGGAATGACATCCCTCTGACGGTTGAAACGATTCCAGACTCTTGAGCGTTGATGGTTAATTAACCCGAACGGCTATTCACTCTCATTTTGGACGAAGTCGAAAGTCATCAAAAAGAGATTCCATAAGAGCTTTAAGGCTCTTCCCAGCCCAGAGCCCATTGCCCCAAACAAGCTGCCTCCTACATATCAGGTCTTGGGGTGTTGAAGCTCATGAGGTCACAGTCACGGCTATTTTTCCATCCCTCTCACCTGTAAACTTCCTGTCAGTTGGGGCGAGAATTGCTCTATGGCTAAGTGTATGAAAGGTTTGGCTTGCTTAAACGAATGTAATCCATGCCTCCTTAGGAGACAGAAATCCGTGCAGGTGGACGCCACTGTTTTTACCTGCATCAGCATGCTGGCACGAGCAATGGGTCCCTCTATTCAGCAAGACATCAAGGAACTTCTGGAGCCCATGTTGGCTGTGGGGCTGAGGTAGGTCTTGTGTTCACTCCAGCAGCCTCCTTGTCTTTGGCTTTGGGCCTGCATTGATCTCTCTGAATCACCAGACGTTGTTACACTTTCACGATAGCTGAAAGCAGCCTCATGTTCAGTTGTGTAACAAACAGTGTCACTTGTGAGCAGCTGCTAGGTTTTCCTTTTCTTGGGGGGTTGCTTTAGAACCTAGAAAACATGTGAGATTCGAAGCACTTTCTGTTCTGACCGAGGCTTCCCAAGAGCATGAAACAAACTCCTTGTCCTGACAAAAAACCCTTTTATTAATTGACTGTGAATTCTGCTCCTTTGCATCCAGCAAAGTCTTTCAAGGGAGGATTTACGGTCACAGATCTTACCTGGCTTGGACAGCTGCCAGGCTGAGATCTGTAGAACTTGGCCAGGAGCCTCAGAGAGTCACGAACCAATTAAGGGAACCAATGGTCTCCTGCAAACTCCACTCTCCTTTCGCTCCTCTTTTATTTCCTCTGGGAGGGGCCATTCATCGTCCACCTGTGGGTTTACTTCCAAGTCGATTCTTGTTCTTTAGCTGTTCCCTTCCTCTGGCAACTCTGCGCATGCGCACGCTGGGAACAGGCTCCAGCTGTTCATCTGACTCACTGATGCCTTATTCTGAAGGCAGCTGATAACTGGCATATGGCCCTGGCCCCCTCTCTGCCTCCGACACAGAGCCCTCATCAGAGTCTTCCCCAGACTCCAGGACTGGCCCATCTTCCTCCCCGACCTCCTCACTGTCCAAATCTGCTGCTAGCTCCACTGGTGGGCCTCAACACTTTCTTGCCTGGAAATTGGGTTTCTTCACAGGCCTTGGACCAAAATCCACTGCGTGTATCCCCCTGCTGAAATAATAAGATGATCTTTATTGTCACTTTTCCCGTGAATACGCTGGCACACATTAAAAATGAAATTCTGATGCCCGCATATACACATACGTGCATACACATATACTGTACGTATAGAAGCCATAGTGGAGCAGTGGTTAGAATGCAGTAGTATAGGCTACTTCCACTGACTGCTGGCAAATTGCCAGCAATTTGGCAATTTGATTCTCAGCGGCTCAAGGTTGACTCAGCCTTCCGTCCTTCCGAGGTAGGTCAAACGAGGACCCAGATTGTTGGGGGAAGAGGCTGACTCTGTAAATCTCTTCGAGAGGGTGGTGAAGCATTGTGAAGCAGTATATAAGTCTAAGTGCTAGTGCAAACACACACTCTCCATTTTGAACACATAGTAAAAAAAGATTCTTGAGTGTTAACAAGGTTGATACTTTTAAGGTACAAAACTATATTAGAATCTGGATGTTCTGCTTTGGATCCTCCCAGAAGATAACAATGAAAACCCGTCACGGAGAGGAAGTGTAGTGTCCATGACAATACCTGTGAACCCTGGTCAAGCATTGCTTATAAGCCATGGCCCGAATAGAAAGAAATGAACATCCGATAATCTTTTCCGCTGTCCTCACCACTCTCTGCTCAGCCTTCCTATCCGAAACAGTAATGCATCCAAACCATAAAGCAATACAACGTCTAAGCAAGGATCTGGAAAGGCTCGCAAGCCCCAACTAACAGCTTATCAACGGCCCTCTGTATCTTGTCCTCAGCCCTGCCCTGACAGCTGTCCTGTACGACCTGAGTCGCCAGATCCCGCAGCTGAAGAAAGAGATCCAGGATGGGTTACTGAAGATGCTTTCCCTTGTGCTGATGCATCGCCCGCTGCGTCACCCGGGCATGCCGAAAGGGCTCTCCCACCAGCTGGCTTCACCCAGCCTCACCAACATCCCCGAGGCCAACGACGTGGCCAGCATCACTCTCGCCCTCCGCACCTTGGGCAGCTTTGAGTTTGAAGGTAAGCACGCTGGAGAAGGAGGCAAGCGGACATCCGATAGAGGAAACCCGGGTAAGAGAACTGGGCCAAACCTCCCCGTTCTCTCTTTGGCCCCTTCCTTTAGGGCATTCGTTGACTCAGTTCGTCCGGCACTGCGCGGATCACTTCCTCAACAGTGAGCACAAGGAGGTGCGGATGGAAGCAGCCCGGACATGTTCCCGCTTACTCACGCCTTCCATTCACCTGATCAGCGGCCATGCCCACGTGGTCAGCCAGACCGCAGTCCAGGTGGTGGCCGATGTCCTCAGCAAACTCTTGGTGGTTGGGATCACAGACCCTGGTAAGCATCAGGAGCCAGGGAAGAGGGTGCTTCTGGGCAAAGGATGTAACCACTCAATGGTCTCTTCCTGGGGAAGGGGATGCCCTTCTAGGAGAATTGGCATAATAGAATTTTATTTCTTGCTATCCACAATGAAGATAAGAGTAGCTGATGATGAGAAACACCTCCAGCTGCTAGAGATCACCTGATATAGGTAGTCCTCAACTTACAACTGTTACTTTAGTGACAACAGCCCTGAAAAAGTAACTTACACTCACACTTACAACATCCAATGAGCCATGGTGGCATAGTGGTTAGAGTGCAGTACTGTAAGCTACTTCTGCTGACTGCCAGCTGCCTGCAATTTGGCAATTCGAATCTCACCAGGCTCAAGGTTGACTCAGCCTTCGGTCCTTCCGAGGTCGGTAAAATGAGGACCTAAATTGTTGGGGGCAAGAGGCTGACTCTGTAAACTGCTTAGAGAGGGCTGTAAAGCCCTGTAAAACGGTATATAAGTGCTAAGTGCTGTTGCTATCTCATTGGTCACATGATCAAAATTCAAACGCTTGGCAACTGACTAGTATTTATTACTGTTGCTCTGTCCCGGGCTCATCTGATCAGATTTGTGACTTTCTGACAAAGTCAATGGGGATTCACTTAACAACGGTGTGATGAACTTTACAACTGCAGCAATTTACGTAACCGTTGTGGCAAGGAAGGTCGTAACATGGAGCAAAATTCTGTCTTGCTTAGCAACAGAAATTTTGGCCTCCATTGTGGCTGTAAGTCTGTAGTCCAAGGAGACAGTGCTGGATTAAGCCAAGGTTCAATGGACTTGATCATATTGCTCCCTGCTTGGGCTATCCTTTTTTTCCCAAGCATCTGCTGTACTAATCTACCCTCTCCAGACCCCGACATACGGTACTGCGTGCTGGCATCCTTAGACGAGCGCTTTGACGCCCACCTCGCTCAGGCGGAGAACTTGCAGGCGCTTTTCGTCGCTCTGAACGACCAGGTGTTTGAAATCCGCGAGTTGGCCATCTGCACCGTGGGCCGGCTGAGCAGCATGAATCCGGCTTTTGTCATGCCATTCCTCCGGAAAATGCTAATTCAGGTAATGGTGTAAGAGGAGTTATCGAGCCAAACCCTCTCTGCCCCAACGATGCCCCCAAATGTCACTTAAAAGTAGCTCAGAGGTGAAAGGGGCTGTTTTGGTGTTTATTTTTTTGTCTTTGTGAACAGGCCGTTAGCCCCGATGTTATACGTACAGTTATGAGTTTTCGGAAGTTCTCCCTATTTTTCTTTATTTCATACTAGACGATAACCCATTGTTGTCCGGGTATTTATTTATAGGGGGGAAATGTCTGGACCAAACATAATTTCTAATGTTGGCTTTTCCCTCTTACCAGGGGGAGCTCCCTTGTGGAGTATTGGGATGCCGTTACCATGGCAACCCCACTCCACTGCACAGTAGAAGCTATTTTACGGCAGTACAGTAGACACCATTTCAAGGCACAACAGGCTGTATCTTAACAGAACAGGTGTTAGGGGTGTCTTACCCCAACAGTATTTTTTTTTCCAGAGAGTAAGTCATTGTGTACCAAGTTTGGTTGAAATTGCTCGAGGTGTTCCAGTTATGCCCCGAAGCAGAAATTATAGAAAATGGGAGGGAATTCTGGATACGTTAAAATGGGAGGGAATTCTGGATACATTAATATCCACTAATGGATTAGTATTCTTGGTGGCGCAGCAGTTAGAATGCAGCATTGCAGGCGGACTCTGCCTACTGCCAGGAATTCGATCCTCACTGGCCCAAGGTTGACTCAGCCTTCTGTCCTCCCGAGGTTGGTAAAACAAGGACCCTTCGGAGGATGGTAAAACAAGGACGATAGGCTGACTCTGTAAACCACTTAAAGGGGTCTGTAAAGCACCATGAAACGGTATATAAGTCTAAGGGCTACTGCTAATAAGTAATGATAAGTAACAGGTGTAGAAAATTCAGAGGAGCATTTTTTGGGCTCTTGGAGGAATAAGGACATACAATTCACACATGTCAGCCTTTCACTTCTGAGCTGAAATTCTTTTCTCTCTCCTCTTGCCATTAACCTGGAACCGTCCCTTTCTCCCTTCCAGATCCTGACCGAGCTGGAGCACAGTGGCGTGGGCAGAATCAAAGAGCAGAGTGCCAGGATGCTGGGACACTTGGTCTCCAACGCCCCCCGACTCATTCGCCCCTATATGGAACCCATCCTCAAGGTAAGGCAGCCGTGGAGTCGGGGGCTGACTTTCTGAATCTCCAAATGCATCATCCCTTCGTTACTGCAGCCTCCTTCCCTTTGCCCTCCAGTCCTCAGTGGCTCTCTTCTGCCAGCCCCCAGGTTGAAAGGAAGATGGATTTAATGGTGGCTTCCCATCCCTCTCCTGAGCTTAAAATGCCCTTTCCTCAGTAGGGTGAGAAAGGAAGGCGTACAAGTAGCCCTCGACTTAACAACAGTTCATTTAGTGACCGTTCAAAGTTACCGACGGCACTGAAAAATGTCTCTTAGGAGCGTTTCTCTCACTTAACAACCGTTTGCAGAATCCTCGTGGCCACGTGATCAAAATTCAGGTGCTCGGCACCTGACTCGTATTTGTGATGGTTGAAGGGTCCCTGGGGTCGTGCGATCCTCTTTTTGTGAGCCTCTGACGAGCACCTTCAATGGGGAATCCAGATTCAGTTAACAACCAGGTTGCTAACTTATCAGCTGCAATGATTCATTTAACAACGGAGGCAAGAAAGGACGCAAGCTGGGGCAAAACTCACTTCACAAATACCACACTGAACAACAGGCTCCATTGTGGTCTTAAGTCTTAAGGAGTGCCTGTAATTTATCTGACCCCCCTTTTTTTTTTCTTGTCATTTTTGCCTTGTGTTCTGTGCCATTCGACAGGCATTGATCGTGAAGCTAAAAGACCCAGATCCTGATCCAAACCCTGGTGTGATCAATAATGTCTTGGCTACCATCGGTGAACTGGCCCAGGTTAGTTGTGCTGGTCCTCTTTCAGCTGCTGAAAGGAGTGAGTCCCTTCCTTCCCACTGCAGCATCATTCGCCATTGTTCTGCCCTTTGCATTCCGGACTCTGCTGTTTTTCACATCTGAATTCCCCCCCCCCCCCCCCAAATAGGTGAGTGGGCTGGAGATGCGAAAGTGGGTGGATGAGCTTTTCATCATCATCATGGACATGCTCCAGGACTCCTCCTTGCTCGCCAAAAGACAGGTGAGTGGCCTGAAGAGGTCCACCTCCTTGGACCTGAGAAATTGACACACATACACTTTTGATGTCAGGGATGATCTGCTCTGCTTAGGAGCCCCCTTGAGACTGGAGGGGAGCTCAAGGCCGATTCTCTCCCCCTGGGCTGAATAACAGAGTTGGGAAGGGACCTTGGAGGTCTTCTAGTCCACCTCCCTGCTCAAGTAGACGACCTATACCATTTCAGACAGATGGCTACCCAATCTCTTCTCAAAAACCACAACTTCTGGAGGCAAGCCATTCCACAGGTTAATTCTTCTCAGTGTCAGGAAATTTCTCTTTAGTTCTACGTTGCTTCTCTCCTTGTTTAGTTTCCAACCATTGTTTCTTGCCTTTGGAAAATAGCTTGACCCCTCCCCCCTTCTTTGGGGCAGCCCCTGAAATATCGGAAAACTGCTATCGTGTCTCCCCTAGTCCTTCTTTCCTTTAAACTAGACATACCCAGTTCCTGCAGCCGTTTTTCATATGTTTTAGCCATGCTGCCCTCTTGAAATGGGCAATATCGCTGTTCACCTGTTGTGAAAGTTCTTAAATCGGTTCTGTTTGTGCGTTTGTTATTTTAAAATTAAACCACTTTTGTGTAGAAATAAAATGGGTGTCTGCTAGAGAAAGCTGACATGCTGTTTACTTCTCTGCTGGCCAGTGCGGCCAAGCAGTTGGCCAACTATTTAGATGGGGCTGTAATCCTGTTTTCTTCTGTGGTGGATCACTTTCACAGGTGGCTTTATGGACCCTGGGACAGCTGGTAGCCAGCACTGGCTACGTGGTGGAACCCTATCGGAAGTATCCAACTCTTCTTGAGGTGCTGCTGAACTTCTTGAAAACCGAGCAAAACCAGGGTACCCGAAGAGAGGTAGGACTCTGCTCCCTTGGCTTGGCATGCTGAGAGGGGAGGGGGAGCTTTGGAAAGCTCCCTCAAATGTGTCAAATGAAGATGGGTTTGCTTTATCCATCTTTTCATGCCTACAAGAAAAGAAGGGCTCAGTGTGATCCTTTATCAGGAGAAAGTGTGCCCAGGGAAACCATTTATCCAAATCAAACCTTCAAACTTACGTTGGTTTTTATCCCCATTTTCACTTAGGCTATTCGCGTCCTTGGCCTCCTGGGAGCTCTGGATCCATATAAACATAAGGTGAACATTGGTATGATAGATCAATCCAGGGATGCTTCGGCTGTCAGCCTCTCAGAATCTAAATCCAGCCAGGATTCTTGTAAGTGAACTGAGGAATGAACGTTCTGAGTCGGCCTCTTGTCAGAAAAAAGTCATGTTATTTAGTAGTTCACTTTTAAAAAATCAGAAATTAGCTCACTTGAGCTTGGGTAGCAATAGCAATAGACTTATACACCACTTTACAGCTAAGCAGTTGACAGAGTCAGCATATTGCCCCCCCCCCAACAATCTGGGTCCTCATTTTACTGCCCTCTGAAGGATGGAAGGCTGAGTCACCCTTGAGCCAGTGAGGCTCGAACTGCTGGCAGTCGGCAGAATTACTCTGCAATACCACATTCTAACCACAAGGAAGGAAGGAAGGAAGGAAGATAGCAATAGTACTTAGACTTATATACCGCTTTACAGCACTTTACAGCTAAGCGGTTTACAGAGTTAGCCTATCGCCCTCAACAATCTGGGTCCTCATTTTACCGATCTCAGAAGGATGGAAGGCTGAGTCGACCTTGAGCTGGTCAGGCTCGAACTGCTGGCAGTCAGAAGAATTAGCTTGCAATACCGCATTCTAACCAGAAGGAAGGAAGGAAGGAAGGAAGGAAGGAAGGAAGGAAGGAAGGAAGGAAGGAAGGAATAGCCCTTAGACTTATATACCACTTCACAGTGCTTTTACAACAATCTAGGTCTTCATTTTACTGACCTCAGAAGGATGGAAGTCAGTCAACCTTGAGCCGGTCAGGATCGAACTCCTTGCAGTGGGCAGAGTCAGCCTGCAACACTGCATTCTAACCATTGTGCCACCCTGGCTCTTCATGTGGCATTGGATGCTTAGAAACAAACCCATTGTATGACTAAATTGGATTATCGGAATCAAAATTAAAAACAAAAGAACATTCAGGGCATCCAGTGGAGTCGATGACTGGCTCCATCCTTCTCAAGGTCCTTCTTGCATCTCAGATCCATAAAGTCATTACGCACAGTGCAGTTTCGGCCTGCTTTAGATGTTGGTCGCCTGTTGCGCTCTGCAGACATTGAATGGAGAGTCTTCTCCTTTCCAGCTGACTACAGCACCAGTGAAATGCTGGTTAATATGGGAAACCTCCCGCTGGACGAGTTCTATCCCGCCGTCTCCATGGTGGCGCTCATGAGGATCTTCCGGGACCAGTCCTTGTCCCATCACCACACCATGGTGGTCCAAGCCATCACCTTTATTTTCAAGTCCCTTGGCCTCAAGTGCGTGCAGTTCCTGCCTCAAGTGATGCCCACTTTCCTCAACGTCATTCGGGTTTGCGATGGGGCCATCCGGGAGGTGAGTGTGCCCCGCGAGGAGTGGCTTCTCTTTCTCCTGTCCTCAGAAAGCAGAAATGGCTTCAAACAGCCAAGAAAAAAATACATGAAAATGTGGCTCTTTTGAGAAGGGAGGGGGGCAGAATGTCACAACCCCCCCCCCCATATTTCCTGAGTCTTTTCGCTGCCTGGGAATCGTGTCGTCGCTGGGGCTCAGGACCCCGGACAGCACCCCAGAGTTTGGGGGAGCTGGTAGAGTTGTTAAAGAAGATTTGGGTTAATGTCAGGGTTCCATGTAACACCCCCAAAGAAAGAAGATTCCGAGGCTTCAGTTTCCTCTCTTCCATTTTATTAGAGTTGTCCTATTGGCACATCTGGGAAAACCCAAATCTGAAAGTTTCCGGGTTTTCCCCCACCCAAAAGAAAGTCCAAGTCCCCGCCCAGCACCCACAGGTCCATCCCATGGTCCAATCAGGCACCGTCCAAAACTGGAGATGCCTCCCGGTCACCACCTCGCAGCTGCAGGGCAAGGTGTCCTTGACTCTCTGAGGAAGGAATGTTATTTAGACTATATATTTCCCATACTCTATATAATCCCCCCTCCCATTTCCCCACAGTAGAAAATGTGGCAGGCCTGAAGGCCCAAATGTAAAAAATGGCTTCCAGGTCTGACACAGAGGCTGGCTGAGTGATCTGTGCTGACAGCGGGCTGAAGAAGTGAGTGATCATTTCCATTCCCTGGGGCTGTTTTTGTTTGTTTGTTTCTCTTGAAACATGGTGCAATGCCAACCATTCTCCTCTCCTTCATCCTAAAGCTGGCTGCCCTGTGACTTCCTTTTTAATGGCAAATACTCCCAGGTGGAATCATTCTCCTGCCCAGAGAAATGAAGCCTCTTTAGCTCAGTCCAGCTGTTCTTGGTGTGCTTTTGCGCAGTTGTTGTTCTCAAGTCTGTAACCACTCACGGGTTTTGCCTTGTCCTCTTCAGAAGGGGAGAACGTGGGCTGTCCCTACTGTAAGTAAGTTCTCCCAGTTCCTGGCCACTCTGGCTAATCTGCTACCTTTTAAGTGTCTTATTTTGCCCAGGGCTCACAAATTCCGTCTTGCCCCAGGCCACGGTCAACGAGACCTTGATGCAACTCTTCGAGAAGCCATCGTCACCTGCAAAGGTCTACTGTGCTTCTCATCTTTGGTTGTTTGAAGGTGTATGGACTTCAACTCCCAGAATCCCCTGGGAGCTGATGCCCACACCTCTTCAAACAGCCCAGTTGAGAAACACTTGTTCATCAGTGAGTTTGTTGCAACTGCAGGTGGAGATCTGTGGGGCAAAGAGAGACAACAATTCCTTCCTGGCCAGCCACTAGGTTGATACTGATAAACCCGGTTAATCTCTTGGATCAAACCTTGACTGTAACTGCGAGAGGCAGAATGCAGCCCAGGGAAAGAAAGGAAAACAAAACAAAAAAAGGGATGGAGGGAGGGAAGGAAGAGGAGACAGAAGGAACAGGGAGGGAGGGAAGAAAGGGAGAGGAAGGGAAGACAGAAGGAAGAGGGAGGGAAGGAAGGAAGAAGAGAAGAAAGATGGAGAAAGGAAGGCAATAGAGAGGAAGGGAGGAAGGGAAGAGGAGAAGAAGGAAGGAAGGAAGTCCAAGCAGAATCCATCCGGACTCAGCTTCAGCATCTACTGAAGGCCTGGAGCCCTGAATAACATCCTAGCTGGGAACCATGGAATCCCTACCGAGCACAAGCTGTGCTTTGGGTGGGAGCCACTCTGAAGAAGCTTTTGGAGACTCACCTTCTCCCAGAATGAAACCACTGAGTGGCTGCTGAAGCCCACATTTTGGTCTCCCTGCCTTTGTTGCTTGACCAGATCTGGCCTGCCTTTGATGCACTTTGCCTACTGTCTTTAAAAATTTGCAGGTAAAAGAAGATGGTGATAGTATGCTGGGGAGAAGAGCCGAGGTGGGTACGCTTGGCATTTAAATGCCCTAAAAAGGCACTTCCTGCGTTGGCTACAATGCTTCTCAAATTCCTAATCAAAGAATAAGAAGCGCTCCGGGCACCTTCTTTGCTACTTCTTTTTCGCAGCACTCTCTCACTAATTCCTCCCTCCCTCCGTTCCTTTTCTCTCTCTCTCTCTGATCTCTTTTGCATTATCAAGGTGGATGATCAAGTGGATCCCGATTTGCACCGGTCCCAAAACATCTCTCTTGATCATTGGATTCTCAGCCTGAAACTTAACTGCCTCTCTTTTTGCAAGCGGCCTCGGTTTTCTGCTGTCTCTTTTCCCAAGGAGGGTGCTGGGCACGCAGAGAGGGAAAGTTTACCAACGGCAGGGAAAAAGTTGTGTGTGTTTGAAGACATTGAGGAAGGGCAGGGACAGGCTTGGAAAGCAAGGTTGGGAAACTTTGGGAATCTTTTTCTCTCCGGTGTTTATACTGGCATGCCTGAAACCTCTGGTGCTTGCCTGAATGCTTCAGAGTCCTTCTCCCTGAGGTGCCACACAGTGTTGGCAAGCCCTGGTTGTGAGCCGTGTGAAATGAAATGTGTGCTCGGGGAGACAGCATGACACTGAAGCCAACGAATACATGAAGGGGGAGGCGGGGTGAGGATCGAAAGCCCCTCAAAGTGCCGTTTTTGCTCTTTCTCCCTTTCCAGTTCCTTTTCCAGCAGCTGGGAATGCTGGTGTCCTTTGTGAGAAGCCATATCCGACCTTACATGGATGAAATTGTTACCCTCATGAGGGTGAGTACCCAGCTGTGAACCTTTCCAAGAAATTCCAACTCACAGGAAATGTTTTAGAAGAGGGAGACATAGAACTCCCTGGGCCTGAATTTCCTTTGACATTAAGCAGCAGCTTATGTCGGTGGCTCGGTGGCTAAGACACTGAGCTTGTCGATCAGAAAAGGTTGGCAGTTTGACGGTTCGAAATCCCTAGTGCTACGTAATGGAGTTAGCTCCTGCTACTTGTCCCAGCTTCTGCCAACCTAGCAGTTCAAAAGCATGTAAAAAATGCAAGTAGCAAAATAGGAACCACCTTTGGTGGGAAGGGAACAGCGTTCCGTGCGTCTTTGGCATTGAGTCATGGCAACCACGTGATCATATCTTCGGACAGCGCTGGCTCCTTGGCTTTGAAATGGAGATGAGCATCGCCCCCTAGAGTTGGGAACGATGAGCGTGTATGTGCGAGGGGAACTTTTACCTATGAAAGGCCAAATGAAAAAGGCAGTGGCACAGTGCATATATTGGAGTTAGTTCATCAATAAGGAATCAAGAACAAAATATGTTCAGCTGTTTTGCAATATTTCCCTGGCTCTTCTGTTGAGAAAACAACATTCATACCTGCAATGCTGGAAAATGTATTCAAGAAGGATGTCCAGGACAGGCAAGAGAGTTTAAAAAAAAGAAAAGAAAAGTAGCTGTTATCCAAGAGGAATTTTTTGTTCTAAACTGAGGGGGGGATCCAGTCTCAGATGTCTGCAGAGATTTCTCTTGGTCCACCATAAGATTTTGAACACAAAGCAAATTTCCATCTTTCTGAGATGGAATGGAAGCTTCAAATGCTGGAATTAACCTTCAAACCCTTTAACCTGTAGCATTGCAATGGGAGTCATTTCTTTTTCATGTTTTCCGGCTTTCTGTCCTAACATTGCTCACTTTCCACCTTTTCCCCCCCATCCAGGATTTCTGGGTAGTAAATAATTCCATCCAGAGCACAATTATCCTCCTCATCGAGCAGATAGTGGTGGCCCTCGGCGGGGAATTCAAACTCTACCTTCCTCAGCTCATCCCGCACATGCTTCGCGTCTTCATGCACGACAGCAGCAGCACCCGCAGCGTTTCCACCAAGGTGAGCAGGGGGCACAGGGGCATGCATCCCACACCCTGGTCTGATTCAAACTACGATTGGCCCTCCGAATCCTGGCCTGCTGCAGGCCTGGAAAAGTTCATCTTGCATAGGTGTCTTTCGTTCCCAGGAAGACCTAACACAGGAGTGTCAAATTCAAGGCCTGCGGGCTGAATCCAGCCCATGATGTGGTCGGATCTGACCCGTGGGGTTTTTCCTGGTCTACCCAATGCGAAGAGGAAACATGCCAGCAGTTTGGGGAGTGGTGTCAAACTGGCCACTCCCACCCAGTCAGCCACGCCCAGCCAGCCCCCTGAGTTCAACCACAGCCCTGATGAAATTAAGTTTGACACCCCTGACCTAACATCATTTGTTTCAGTTCTGCTAAAAACATGGAAGTGCGTATCCCAATTGCTTTATACTCACTCAAAAAAATTAGGATTAGAACATGTTGTTAGTTGCGAAGTTGTGTCCAACCCACTGTGACCACATGGGGAACGTTCCTCCAGGCCTTCCCAGCATGAGGCTCTTCTCCAGGGAGTCCTTCTTCCTTCTCATCAGGTGGCTAAAGGATTTGAGTTTCCTCTTCAGGATCTGGCCTTCTAAAGAGCAGTCAGGGTTGATCTCCTCTAGGACTGACCGGTTGGATGGCCTTGCAATTCAAGGGACTCTGCGGGAGTTTTCTCCAGCACCAGAGTTCAAAGGCCTCCATTCTTTGGTGCTCAGCTTTTCTTATGGTCCCACTTTCACAGCCATCCATTGCAACTGGGAAAACCATCGCCTTGACTAGATGCCCTTTTGTTGCCAGGGTGTCTCTGTTTTTTAGCATGCTGTCTAGATTTGCTATAGTTTTCCTCCCCAGGAATAGCATCTTTTAATTTCTTGGCTGCAGTCCCCATCTGCGGTGGTCTTGGAGCCCAGGAAAATAAAATGTGTCACTCCCTCCATTTCTCCCCTGTCTATTTGCCAGGAATTGAGAGGGCCAGATGCCTTGATCCTCGTTTTCTTAATGTTGAGTTTCAAACCAACTTTTGCACTCTCCTTCTTCACCCTCATCAAGAGGCTCTTTAGTTCCTCTTCATTTTCTGCCATGAGAACATATGCCGGTACTTAAACCCAGAGTGGCTGTTTTGAACCTTGCCCTTGGTTCCTATGGAGTTTGCTTTCTGTCCTTTCCAGCTGCTGAATGCCATCCAGTTGTTTGGAGCAAATCTGGACGATTACCTGCACTTACTGCTGCCTCCCATTGTGAAGCTTTTTGATGCCCCCGATGCCCCCCTGTCTGCTCGCAAGTAAGAATGGATGTTGTCCACATGCATCTCCACTGTTTTACGGGCTTTTAATGAAAGATGCTGCTGGTACTGTCCAAATACTTAGAATTTTCTCAAAAGGACATCCACACTTGTCCCTCTTTTGATTTGATTTTGATTTTTTGATTTTTATTATATTTATATGCCGCCCTTTCCCCCCGAAGGGGACTCAGGGCGGCTCACAATTCAATTTTGGGTTTCTCTGTGTCCCTAACCCTTAACCTGAATTGATTTTGCAATTGCAGTGCTTTGTTTCCTCCCGTCTTCCAGAGCTGCCTTAGAAACTGTGGACCGATTAACGGAGTCCCTTGATTTCACGGATTATGCTTCGCGGATTATCCATCCCATCGTGCGAACTCTTGACCAGAGCCCAGAGCTTCGCACAACTGCCATGGACACGCTCTCCTCCCTGGTCTTCCAGCTGGGGAAAAAGGTATTATTATTTTTCCAAGGAGAGAGATCTCCACTTTGCTGAATTTAAATCCTTTCCTATGAAACATATAAAGAACGGTTGCAGGAATTGAGTATGGCCAGTCAAGAGAAAAGGACTAGGGGAGACACGATAGCAGTTTTCTAATGTCTCAGGGGCTTCCACAAAGAAGAGGCAGTCAAGCTATTCTCCAAAGCCCCTGAGGGCAGGACAAGAAGCAATGGGTGGAAACTAATCCAGGAGAGAAGCAACTTAGAACCGAGGAGAAATTTCCTGACAGTTAGAAAAATGAATCAGTGGAACAACTTGCCTCCAGAAGTTGTGAATGCTCCAACACCGGAAATCTTTAAGAAGATGTTGGACAACCATTTGTCTGGAATGGTATAGGGCAGTGATGGCAAACCTTTTTTGGCTCGCATGCCAAAAGCGGAGGGAGCACAAGGGGCTCGTGCACGGGCGTGCCACACCCATAATGCAATGCCCGACCCTCAGAGCGCATACACGCATGACCAGTGCTCCCCCTCATTTTTTGCATGCTTTTTCACCCTCCCCAGGCTCCAGAGGCTTTATAGGAGCCTGGGGAGGGCTAAAACAGCTTCCCCCCGCCCCCGGTCCCCGGAGGCCCTCCTGAGGCCTCTGGAGCTTCCCTGAAGCCTCCAGACGGCAAAAAACGAGCCTACGAGTGAACCGGAAGTCACTTCCGGGTTGCTTGTAGGGCCGATTTTAGCCCTCCGGAGCCTTCAGGGAAGCTTCCGGAAGGTCCCTGAAGGCTCTGGAGGGCTAAAACCAGCCCTACGAGCAAACTGGAAGTCCGTTCCCAAATTTCCGGTTTGCCTGGAGGGCCGGCTTTTTGCGCTCCGGAGGCTTCAGGGAAGCTCCTGAAGCCTCCGGAGGGCCTCCTGGGGGGATGGGGGAGGATGTTTTCGCCCTCCCCAGGCTCCTCTAAAGCCTCTGGAGCCTGGGGAGGGCGAAAAATGGCCTCACAAAAAGGCTGAAGTCAGCTGGCCAGCACCCGTAGGCCAACGCCTCGCCTGCCCTGAGAAATGGCCCCATGTGCCACCTGTGGCACACGTGCCATAGGTTTGCCATCCCGGGTATAGGGTTTCCTGCCTGTGCAGGAGGATGGACTAGAAGTCCTCCAAGGTCCCTTCCAACTCTGTTATTCTGTATTCTTTAAATAGTTCCTTAGGTGATTGGAGAAGTGACATTGTAACATTTAATGAGATATTGGATGGTATACGTGTAAATGAAATGTTGGCTATATCCTGCAGGCTTTTTTATTACAAAATATGAAATGACCTCTTTAAATGGATCAGTGGCACTTGAAAATTTGGCCAAAGAAGTAACACGATAACAAGGAGCTGTAAAATACTCCACAGCCAAAAGACAAACTCCTTAAATGTAACCATCTATTATTTAAAAATGTAACGATTTTATTGGAGCTGTTTCTGAAAGCGTACATTGAATGTGATATGTTGGCTCTCAGGACTGCATCCCTGTGCAGATTTCATTTTTTAACATTTCACTCCTGGCGTTTGTCCTGAGCTGCTGTTGTCTTCCGTTGTCGTCCTTGCCCCCCCACCCAAAAAAAAAAAGAGAAAAGAGAGTCTTCCGGGTGCTACCTCTTCTTCTCACCCCTGCAGTATCAGATCTTTATCCCGATGGTCAACAAAGTATTGGTGCGTCACAGAATAAACCACCAACGATACGACGTCCTCATCTGCAGGATTGTGAAGGTCAGTGACTCCTCAGGAAGCCGAATGAGATGGCAGGGTAAAAGCTGTTCATTTGAAGGACACCTGTCTCTCATCTGTGCTCCTGCCCTGAGCTTATCAAAGCACCGGAATTTCACCTTAATTCCATAATGTGTCTTCATATATATACGGGGAGGCAATCAAATTCTTCCTGTCAACATCCAGCTTGAGTATACAAATAAAAGCCCAGGGTCATTTTATTTGCTGAAAAACTTACTGGTTTATTGAATACATAACCCGAGAAGGCTGAAATAAACCTAACTCTGAGTTTCTCAGGCCCCAGTACATAATATTTATTAATCAATGGTTTCCCAGCCCGAGTCCCCCCTGTTTTCCACATAGGCCAAGTAAAGTTCCCATTGTCATGGAACTATGTGTCTCATTTGCACACCTGCTCAAGAGTCCTTGAACGTTTCCAGTTTCTCACGAAATTCAGTGGGCCTGCAGAACTTTTGTTTTTTCTCGCTAAGCCAGGGATGGGCTGCTACAGGTTCGCCTGAGTTCGGGAGAACCCATAGCTAATGTTATGGCCGGTTCAGAGAACCTCCAAATCCCACCCCTGGCTGGCCCCTCCCACCCCGCCCCGCCCCTCTCAGAGGCTTCCACATGGCCCATTTTGGATGCGAGGTAAGTACAGGACCTGCACGGAGGCTTGGGGAGGGGGAAGTTCCAGGAACTTCCATTTCCGGTCTCTAGAGGGCCTCTGAAGCCTGGGAGAGGCAGTTTTCGCCCTCCTGGAGCCTCAAGGAAACCCTCCAGAGCCTGGGGAAGGTGAAAACGGGCCCCCCGCCATGGTGCAGGAGGTCGACTAAGCCACGTCCACCATGGCCACACCAGTGGTGGGTTCCAGATCCTGTTGCAACCAGTACCGTGCAACAGGACCTGGCCTCTTTCACATGCACGGCGCCCAATGTGTGCGCTTGCATCCTTACCTCCGTGACGCCTCTGCGATGCTCCAGCTGTTCGGGGGAGTGTCACGCAGGCGTTGTACGCTCTACACGCAGAAGTGCCAAAGAGCTTGAATACAGGTAAGGCGCTCGGGTGGGCCCTCCGGAGCACTGTGCCCGAATGGTACCCAGTGCTCCCGGTAGGTGCCAGTACGCCCATACCGGGGCGTACCGTCTGCAACCCACCAGTGGGCCACACCCACCCAGCAACCGGGCAGAGAACCCGTTGCTGAAATTTTTGAAGACCACCCCTGAGTTAAGCCTCCCGTAAGCGACCCCTCCCCCCCTTCCTCTAATGACAAGTTGAAACGGTGAGACCCGTCAGTGCCGATGTTTCACCCTGGACCCTTCCGTTCGGCCACAAGCACAAACCACCACATTGCTACCCAAATGCAAAGCCAGGTTTGGTTTTGATGAATCTCTGCTCTGTGTTAGGGCTACACTCTCGCCGATGAAGAGGATGACCCTCTGATCTACCAGCACCGCATGCACAGGAGCAGTCAGGGAGAGGCCCTCGTCAGCGGCCCGGTCGAAACGGGGCCCATGAAGAAGCTGCACGTCAGCACCATCAACTTACAGAAGGTAATCTTTGGCACTGCGCTGGGCAGAGATACGCTTCTCGAGATCAGTAGCGATTTTCAGCAACAGTTTCTGATGTTCTGCAGCATCAAATTTTTCCTGGACCAGTTTGGGATGATCTAACACAGGGATGTCAAACTCAGTTTCATTGCGGCCCGCATCATGGTTGTGTTTGACCTTTGGGGGCCGGGGTGGGCATTGCCGGAGTGAGTGTGGCCAGTTCAACATCACTCCTGTCAGGGGCACCTGTGATGGCCTCCCTCACTCTCATTATAATCTTCTTTCCTTCCTTTTCTTCTTTTTCCTTCTCTCTTCCTTCTCCTTTCTTCTTCCTTCCTCTCTTTATTTTTCCTTCCTTGCTCTCTTCCCTTCTTTTTCTTTGTCTTTCCTCTTTCCCTTTCTCCTTTCCTGTCCCTTCTTGCATGTTCAAATGCAAAAGGGGAAACATTTCTCACTTGGTTTTGTTTTTAGTTTGTTTGCTAGCCTTCTGCCAGCGAAAACGGAGCCTGGGAGCCATCTCCATGCACACACACACACACAGAGAGAGAGAGAGAGAGAGAGACGGAGACACAGCCCTGTTTTCGTTGCCATGGCCTGTAGCCCTCTGCCAGCCAAAACAGCTCATTTTCGCTGGCAGAAGGTTGCAGGAGGTCATCGTGGCTGAAAAAGTGGCCCCGAGGGGGACCTGCACGGCCCTCCTGGACTCTGTTTTCATTGGCAGAGGCAGAGCGGGACGGTCCCTTGCTGTTCCAGGGTGGCCCCGCGGGCCAGATTTAAGCCCCCTGTTGGCCATATTTGTCCCGTTGGCCTTGAGTTTGACACCACTGATCTGGCAGACTTCGTGTCACTTTCAAAATGGAGGCTGTATTTGTCAGACTGGTTTCCCCACATTTGAAAAACTTTTAAAAATGAAGCTTCTGGACAACTGGAGAAATGGGGATTGCTGTCCCTGTGCAGACAGATTTATGGAGGATCAGGCTAGCAATAGGGACTAATAACCATAGAAATTGACGATATTATTTTATAAACCTCAGGCAGAATTAAAACTTTAAATGGTTGGGAAGCAGCATCCAATTAGATCTTAGTGCAAGCTTGTGAAATTCAAATTCATCCAGTTATTCAATATGAGAGCCAGAACGTTTGGCTGGTTAGGACTGAGAGCAGCCTGGGGAATTCTGGGAATTGAAGTCCGCACACCTTCAAGTTGGGCAAGCTTGAGAAACCCCTACATATCTAGAGTTGTGTGACCATCTTCCAACTCTTTGTGCCATCACAAAGCAGCCCATTGAACCCCAGAAATTTTTCACTGAGTTTCAGCAAGGTAATTTTGGGGGGACTTTCAGGGCCGCAGAAGTGGAGTTGGGGCCCCGTGGCTCCCATGCTGTCAGTTTTCCTGGCCCTGATGAGTAGCTGATTGCGGCAACTCCTAGAAGAGCCCTTTGTATTCTAGGCCTGGGGAGCAGCCCGAAGAGTTTCCAAGGATGATTGGTTGGAATGGTTGAGACGGCTGAGCCTGGAGCTGTTGAAAGACTCCTCATCGCCCTCACTGCGCTCGTGCTGGGCCTTGGCTCAGGCCTACAACCCCATGGCCAGGTAGAAATTCAACCTCAATCCAGGGAGAAGACAAAGAAGGGTCCCCTTGGGTCGTTTAGTGCAAGGGTAAAAAAAATGTTTAAGGGGGGAGAGAGTGTGTGTGTGTGTGTGTGTGTGTGTGTGTGTGTGTGT